ATTGAAGTTTAATGTGCCACCTAAAGACCTGAGAGAGGTTTGGAGCAGAGGGCTGTCAGTGGGGCATGGGTGTGTGTGTGTGTGTGTGGGGGGTGGAAGGAGTGGGGGGGATTTGGGGGATGGGGAGGAAGAGGTGGAAGGCTGGCGCAAGGGGAAAAGGAGAAGACAAGTTTGGGAGTATCACTGGTGGGTTTCTCTGGGAGCCAACCAAGTAGAATGATTCTCTCCAAACTCCTATTTTCTCTCCCTCATTCCCTCATCCTCCTTTCTCCTTGTCCTGTTTTCTTTTTCTTTTATTTTCTTTTATTTTTTTAAAATATATTTTATTGATTTCTTACAGAGAGGGAGAGAGAGAGAGAGCTAGAAACGTCAATGAGAGAGAAACATCGACCAGCTGCCTCCTGCACACCTACCGGGGATGTGCCCGCAACTGATGTACATGCCCTTGACCGGAATCGAACCTGGGACCCCTTAGTCCGCAGACCGACGCTCTACCACTGAGCCAAACCGACCTCAGCCCCTTTTCTTTTTAGATCGTCTAGACCTCTCCTTCCCAACTTCTTTTCCTTTTTGTTTCAAGCTTCTAAGAAGTGCTTTTCCTCAAATAATCCCCCATCTAAGCTTTTTCCTGCTTATCTGAAAAACCTTGTTAAGGTAACACTGGTCAGTGTTGACAGAAGTCAGGAAAGCGTTTACCCTTGGGACTAAAGACTGGAAGGGAGTACAAAGGATTCTGAAGTGCCAGGAATGTTGTGTTTCTTAATCCTGCTGTTGGTTACACGGTGTGCTCAGTTTGTGAAAACTGAGCTATGCACTTCTCCGCATGTACATTTCAAAGAAAGGCTTAAATTAAAACAAACAAAAGCAAAACAAACAAAAGCAAAACAAATGAACCTCTCCTGTTTAAGTTTCATCTGCTTCAGGGAAGTGAGTGGATGATAAAAGGGGCCATAAAGAAGCATAGGAAATGATCTTCATATTTTTGCCCAGAATCATCGACCACTGCTAAGTTTCCAGTCTCATGACTCCAGTTTTGGCTGATGGACAAGGGGTAGTGGCAAGGGGCAGTGGGAATGGAAGTTTGCAGAATGAAACAAATTAAAAACTTAGCTGGACAGAACTTGGTAACCAGTTGAAAGTATGGCCCAGTTGGATAGAGGAAAGGGATAAAAAAAGGCAGGTTAAGTTTAAGCAGGTCATGTAGGGAAAGAAAATCAGGTTTGGGCAATTATGGTGGCAATATATTATGAATGTATTTAAGAGATTAGCTTAAATATCTAAAAAATGAAAAGTTCTCTTGATAAGTATTTTGATACCAGCTAAGATTGTTCTAACCCCAAGTTCTGCTTAAGAGTAATGTATTAAAACTATGATTGCTAAGGGAATGACTTAAATGACACTTTCATCCTTGGCATAGCTAAATTGTTGAGCATTAGAAAGGGTGGAACTTAGAATAAAAGTAAAGCCAGAAAATAAAAAGTGGCATTTCACTAAAACTAGCAATGTCTAGCAGTAGTTCTATTTGTGACTGGGTGGGAGAAGATATACTTTAGATTGATTAGGAAAGACCTGAGATATGTGAGCAGAGATCTGAATGAGGTGGGGAGTAGTCAAGCAGATAGCTGGAGGAAAACTGGTACAAGCAGAGGGAGGAACAAATACAAAGCTTCTGAAGCAGGGACACGTTTCTAGTGTATTTGAGAAACAGCAATGTCCTGATTGGGAATTGAACTGTGACCTCCTGGTTCATAAGTCAGTGCTCAACCACTGACCATGCTGGTCAGACACAGTATTATTTCTAACTGCTCCAAACTAGAACCTAAAGGTTCAAAAAAAAAAAAAAAATGGATAAATGATCACAAAAAATACTTATATAATGTTCAAAAGCAAAACCTTCTATTGTATTAAAAGTCAGGATTATGGCCCTAACCGGGTGGCTCAGTTGGTTGTAGCATTGTCCTGTTCACCAAAAGATTGGGGGTTCAATCCCAGGGCCCCATGGGGCACTTTCATGCTGGAGGACAACCGATTAATATATCTCTCTCACATGGATGCTTCTCTCTCCCCATCCCTTCCTCCCTTCTACTCTCTGTAAAAATCAATGAGAAAAAAAAAATCCTAAAGTGAGGATTAACAAAAACAAGAATTATGGGAACAATGCTTTGTCTAAAGTCAAAATAACAGGAAAGTATAAACAATCCTAGTGACTACATTTCTTATTGTTTCTTGTCCTGTAATCATTAAGAAGGGAGAGTGAGCTAATTATAAGCACAATTATCCTTTCACATGTTAACTCTGTTGTAGTTACCTGTTATCTACATTTGGAACTTAAGACTTCCAGTTCGTAGATAAATTCAGGTGTCATGAGCAAGTAGATATTAATAGGAAAGAACATACATATTCTCTTCATGGTAATAATGGTATATAATTGGGTAAGCTATTTTTATTAGGATGGAGACATTATTTGGGCTGTACAAAATTGGTTAGTGTTCAGATTAGCCTTGATGTGCCCTGCCCCCCCGTTTATATATGTTACAATTATATTTGTGTATTCTAATTTTCTACACAGGATGAAAACAGAGGTTGGTATCCTAGTGTAAAGGCCTTGTATGGAAAGTTTTTTTTGTTTTTTTTAAATATATTATATTGATTTTTTACAGAGACGAAGAGAAATAGAGAGCTAGAAACATCGATGGAAAGTTCTTATTTCCAGCTGAATTAACTGAAGTTGTAAAACTGCACAGAGAGACTAGAGATCCAATATTTTTATTATATAGAAATGTGAAGGCCATATATTTTAAATGAGAAGGATTCAAGATATCCTCATTTTATTGTGATACAATATAAAAATAAACACAACCAAGAGTTGTGAGAAAGAATTCAACTCAACTTTCATGTTCCTCCCCTCCCCCCAAGCTGAAACTTTCCACAGGAAAACCTGGTTTCAATTCATGCCAAATTGTTCAAATGGAAAGAAAAACTAAGGCAGATAGAGACAACACATAGACTGGTTTTTGAATTTTTAAAGAGCCAAACGAAAGCTCTATTCCACCTCACATTGAGAATTTGTTTCATGTTAAAATTTCTCTAGTTACCTAAGTGATAACTGAAGTGGAAAAAAGAAAGTTGAGTTGGCCAATTTTGGGGGTGTTAAACAGGTTTAGAAAGGAGATGTAAATTATTTCTGGTCAGTAAGATTTAATATCAGCTCTAAGTCACCTGTATTAGCCCTTTGGCAGCCTAGTTCTCTGTAATGGTCAAGAGGAAGGACCCATTACAAGTACCAGCATAATAAATGCTTGATATTAGCACAACTTGGTCCTCTATTCCCAAATACTGTACTTTATATCAGTGTGCTTTTGGGGGGGAAAAGGAGGTATGCTTTTGACATCAAACTGACCCTCCAAATGGGATTTTTCTTTTCTTTTCTTTAAATATATTTTATTGATTTTAGAGAGAAAGGGAGAGAGAGAGATAGCAACATCAATTATGATAGAGAAATCATTGACTGGCTGCCTCCTGCATGACCCCTACCGGGGATCAAGCATGCAACTCAGCATGTGCCCTTGGCCAGAATCAAACCTGGGACCCTTCAGTCTGTAGGCTGATGCCCTATCCATTGAGCCAAACCAGACAGGGCACCAAATAGGATTTTTCTTAATAAGCTTCTCTTTGTACTCACTACTAAATTGAAAAACATTTTAGAGATGTGACTAGAAAGATGGTTGTGTTGAAACAAGACTAATGACTAGGAAGGTATCTGTGGATTAAATATAAACAAAATGACATCCAGAATGTTTAAATATAGATAGAATTTATTAATTTATGAAGAAAGCAAAAAATAGAAAACAAAGAAGACTTGAAGTTTAGAAATATTATCTAGATTCAGGATGTTGCTATTCAGCAATTGAAATTTACAGCTTTCTCAGTTCAATCAGAGCAGAAAGATTTAAAATTGTCTGGAGGAATCAGGATAGTCATGTGCTAAAGGATGGAAATTCTGATACCACTTGCTTCCTTTAGAAATTGTAATGCTAATTGGATGAAGGAAGAAGTGAGAGATATATATTTTTTCACTTAGATTTCTGTCCAATGATGGAGTAGGATAATGCTAAGAAATAGGTTAGAATATATTTCTGGTTATAAGGCTATGAAAATCAGGTAATCAAATTTGGAATATTCTCATTAGGATAGAACAAGAAAGTGAGAAAATTACTAACAGGAAATAAAATCCCAGAGACCACCTACTCCAAAAACTAGTTTGTTTCCATTGACCCTTATACAGAGAGGCAGTTATTTCTTTTTTCTTTTTCTTTTTTCTTTTTAATATATTTTATTGATTTTTTACAGAGAGGAGGAAGGGAGAGAGAGAGCTAGAAACGTTGATGAGAGAGAAACACCAACCAGCTGCCTCTTGCACACCCCCTACTGGGGATGTGCCCGCAACCAACATACATGCCCCTGACCAGAATCGAACCTGGGACCTTTCAGTCCACAGACCGACGCTCTACCACTGAGCCAAACTGGTATCGGCGAGAGGCAGTTATTTCAATAAGCTACATTACCTAGCAGAACCTGAGAGACAAAGACTGAAAACATGTATTTTAGATAGAAAACAGACTTAAAAAATGTAATAAATGGTTTGCTCTACATTTCATTCACAATGTGTGGCTGGAAAATAGCAAACACCACTTAGATAATCTTGCTTATCCAAAAGCACATTAGGTTGAAGTAAACTAAGAAATGAGAGAAAATGTTTATTGGGGATGTGTGGGTTCAACCTGTTTATTCACCTCTGGAGTGGAAGTATAGGGAGAAAAAGTCTGCTTATAAAGGTCAAGGTCTATGGAGAAGCCCTGAAGTTGCTTGCCCCAAATCACAAGTCTGATTCAAGAGAAGAAAATGATGAAAAACATCTCATCAATCACACAAACTTAGTGATAGTGTCTCTGATAGTCACCAGCCCAGCAGGGGAGAAAGGAGAAACCCACCTGCTGGCTTTAGGATTTATTGAAGGCTGCCAACACAGCCCAGATCATCTCTGTGGCACTGTGCTTTGTCCCTTCCACTTCAGGGTCCAGTTCTACTAGGTCCTTGGCTCGATTCATTGCCACATCATACTTGTCATCTGCCAGAGAGGAGAAGACGTTTTCTAGCACATCGGAGGAGTGGGCTAGCACCAGGAGTGCTAGTGTTCGCTTGTCCATGCGCTGAGGGTCATTTACCCACCGCTCTAGGACACTATCTTGAAGTTTTTTCACTAGTCGCTGTTTCTCTGTTGTGTTGGTCACCGGATGAGTAGTCATATCAAACAGGAGGAAATTCTGCTTCTCCGTGGTTAAAATGCCCTTCTCTACTAGGTTCTTTGCAATTCGCTCTCTTACATTTCTTAGCTGATATTGTAATTTGAAGGGGTTCCAGGTCTCGCCTATGGGAAAAGAAACGAAAACTTGGAACAACACTATAAACGAACCAGACCATCAAGACATCTTTTAGAACATTCCACCCTTTAACAGCAGAATATATTCTTCTCACGTGCACATGGAGCATTCTCTAGGAGATACCATATGCTAGGCCTTAATAAACTTAAAACAGCTGTAATAATTTTAAAAGGACTAAAAATAGACAAAGTATGCTATTCAACCACAATGGAATTAAATAAAAAATTATTAAAAGAAGGAAATTAGGAAAATTAAAAAATATATGGAAATTAAACCACATGATGTGAAATAATCAATGGGTCAAAGAAGAAATCACAAGGGAAATTTAAAAAATACTCTTGAGTTGAATGAAAATGAAAACATAACATATCAAAACTTATGGGATGCACTTTAAAGCAGCTTCAAAAGAAAAATTTACAACTCCAAGTGCTATTCTAGGAATAATGTCAAATCAATAATCTACCTTAAGAAACTATTTTAAAAAGAGCACTAAACCCAAAGCAAGCAGAAGAAAGGAAATGGTAAAGATTGCAATGGAAATAAACATACAAAATAAAAACAATAGAGAAAATATATCAAGAGTTGGTTTCTTTTTTTATTATTTTTAAAATTTCTTTTTTTTTTTTTTTTTTTAAATATATTTTATTGATTTTTTACAGAGAGGAAGGGAGAGAGAGAGAGAGAGAGAGCTAGAAACGTCGATGAGAGAGAAACATCGACCAGCTGCCTCTTGCACACCCCCTACTGGGGATGTGCCTGCAGCCAACGTACATGCCCTTGACCGGAATCGAACCCGGGACCCTTCAGTCCACAGACCGACGCTCTACCACTGAGCCAAACCGGCTTCGGCTATTTTTAAAATTTCTTTATTAAGGTGTTATATAATGTGTCTTTAAGGAGTTGGTTTCTTAAAAAGAGAAAATTGACAAGCCTAGACTGACCCAGGAAAAAAGAGAGAAGATCTTTTCCACTATTTCGAATACTTAATAGCTAATTTCATAACATCACATGTACCATTTTAAGAAAGTGATGATTTAGTGGGAAATTAATGCTTTGCATTTGTATACTGTAAATATAAATGACGATTTGTTTGAAATGTGTAACTTTGATATGCAAAAGATAATAACTCACAATGTTAATATTAAATATTCCTTCAAAAAAAATTAAAAAAAGAAAAAAAAAGAAAAAAGAGAGAAGACTCAGATTACTACAATTAGGAATGAAAGAGGAGATATCACTATTGACCTTAAATAAAGAGGGTAATGAAGGCATACTATAAATAGAGAAAATTCTGACTAGATCAACAAGTAAACAGAGTGAATAAGTAACTTTAAAACATTCCACAAAGAAAAGTGTGGAAATATGGCTTTATTGGTAATTCTACCAAATATTTAAAAAATAATGCTAATCCTTCACAAATCTTTCCAAGAATCAGAAAAGGAGGAAATACTTACTTAATCTATATGGTATTACTCTGATACCAAAACCAGACAAGGACATCACTAGAAAATGACACACCAATATCCCAGGTATAAAATACTCAACAAAATACTAGCAAAGCAAATTCAGCAACATATGACAAAGACTGTATAACATGACCAATGAATCATCTGTATCTTATTGGGCCCCTTTAATTTCTGCACTTCTTTTCCTGACCTTAAGAGTAGGATAAAGATAACAAAGTGTGGGACTTCTGAATCATTTTGAGCCATCTTACCGGTGAGTAGCTCTATCCACGTCTGGACAGTTTCTGTGGGTTCAGTGGCTTTGATGTGTTTGAGAGTTTCATCCAGTAAAACGTCACCTGTTGGGCTGTCTGACTTCAGTAGTACCTTTTAGGAAAAAGAAACCAGGGTGCCCGGTTCATTCAATTCATTCAAATTAAAATCTTTCAATATACCATATGTACATTATTGGTTAAATATTATAGAAAATGCAAAGCAGTATAATATATTATACTGTCTCTGTTCTCAAGAAGTTGAAAAATTGCCCTAGCCAGTTTTGCTCAATGGATAGAGCATTTGCAGATCAAAAGGTCCCGAGTTTGATTTTGGTACCTTGGTTGCAGACTCCTCCCAGGCCAGGGCCCAGGCCCTATTCAGGGCTTGTGCAGGAAGCAACCAATTGATGTGTCTCTCTCACATCGACATTTCTCTCTGTCTTTCCCTCTCTCTAAAAATCAATGGGAAAATATCCTCAAGTGAGGATTAAAAAAAAAGTTGAAAAATCTAGTATGGGGAGATAGTGAGGAGACAAACATAACATTTGATGAGGACCCTAGTGACAAACCCAATATAAATAATAATGGAGAAAAGATTCAATAATGATTCTTTGAGTCTGGAAAACCTACTTGCAAAACAATCAGGAAAAGAAGCCAGTTTTGGGGAAAGTAAAGTTTGGTTTTAACTGATATGAGAGAGCCAGTTGAAATGCCTAGCCAATAGATAAATATTTTCCTGGGGCTGACAAAAGAAGATAGGCCTGCCTGGCCAGTGTTGCTCAGTGATGAACGTCAACCATGAACCAGGAGGTAGCAGTTCAATTCCCAGTCAGAGTACATGCCAGGGTTGTGGACTCAATCTCCAGTAGGGGGCCTGTAGGAGGCAGCTGGTTTTGCTCAGTGGATAGAGCTTTGGCCCTTAGACCAAAGGATCCCGGTTTGATTCTGGTCATGGACATGTATCTTGGTTGCAGTCCCCTGGCCCTGGTAGGGGTGTGTGCAGGAGGCAATCAATTCATGTGTCTCTCTCACATTGATGTTTCTCTCTTTCTTCCCCTCTCCCTTCCACTTTCTCAATGGAAAATATCTTCAGGTGAGGATTAACAATAAAAAAAGAGACATCAATGATGAGAATCATTGATTGACTGCCTCCTGCACGTCCCACAATGGGGATAGAGCCCATAACCCGAGCATGCGCCCTTGACCAGAATAAACCAGGGACCCTTCAGTCTGCAGGCTGAAGCTCTATCCACTGAACCAAACTGGCTAGGACTAAAAACATATTTAAAAAAATTTTTTTTTAAAAGATTAGCCTAGGATTTAATAGTTAGTATATGGAGGTAATAAATGAAGCTGTAAAAGTAAATGATACCTTTAAAGGATAGAAATTACACAAAGGGTTACAAGCTGAGACTTAGATGTTCAGGCATGGAGAAGTAAAGGAAATAGGGTACAGCTAGAGAAGCAAGAGAATCTATATATATAAAAGCCTAATATGCAAAGTGTCCTCTCAGGAGTTCGATCACTTACTATGATGTGTGCTGACCACTAGGAGGCAGTGCAGAATGAAGGAAGGCCCTGGCTGGCAGCCAGGAAAGGGAGGCCCCGGTCAGCAGCCAGCAGCCACGAGGGACCCTACCAGTGCAGAATTTCGTACACTGGGCCTTTAGTGTAATATAACAGAGACCAAGAATAAATAAAGTTTCAAGTAGGAGAAGGTGGTCAAAGTGTCAAATGCCACATCAAGGTTAAAAGAGAAAAACTGAAAAGAAGCTGGTGATACATAAGAATGTGGTTTCAGTGCTAAATGCTAAGTATGAAAATGAAAGTGTGAGTAGAAAAAAAGAAAATGGAGACAGTTGTATGACTAACATGCTGCATAGAACTTGTAGTAAATGGAAGGAGAGAAATTGAACGACTATCTGAGGATGACCAGAGTTTAGCAAAGACTGGACCTGACGGATGTGTTTACATACTCTTATATAATACTCTCTTCCATGTTAGAGCTATAGCTATAGAGGGAAAAATAATCAACAGCACCTTAAATGTGATTTTCTGCATAAGAAAGAAAGACAAAAGTATGAACTTCTTGAAACTCTTTAGACTATGGATTCTTGGATTTCTCCCTCTGATATAGAATAATTAAATCTATGAGACAATGGGACAGCTGAGTCACCTTATCTCACTACTCAAATCTTTCTATTCCTCCAAAATGAACCATTGGCACCTGCCCTTTCATAAACTCAGAGAATGTTCACAGAGGATGCTGTACCTTTCTGTCTAGTAGTCGCTTCTTACGCATGGTGGGGGGTTCCAGATAGATACGACCCCGCATGGCCAGCTCTATCAGGATGCCCCCTCGCAGGCCAGATGATATGCAGTCATTCCAGAAAGATGTGTAACCCTAGGAAAAGAGAAGAGAAAGAATGTTCTGAAAGAGTTATGGACTTGCAGCAAGCACCCTAAGGATGGTATGCTCTGTTGTAATTTGTTTCAGGTCATATTACATGAACTCAAAAAAAAGTATACAAATAAAGGAATCTCTTTAATTTCCTTAACCTACCCTCTCCCCAATTATGATTTTCTGTCTGACTTTTAAGTTCTTTGTTTATTTGGCTATTAGTTAATAATTGGCAAGTCAAACTTTAATTTCTGAGAATTTTAAAAATCTGTTTCCATGATACTTCCAATTCAGCGTAGGATACAAGTGAATTAAACAGAAAAACATACAAACCATTTGAGTATTTTACTCCTCCAAGATATGTATTAATAATACAAGCTATTTTGATGGTGATATAGTTGAAATCCGGCTCTAACACTGACTAGTTAAGTTCTTGGGTATGTGACTTAACCTTTCTCAAGTGATTATTTTTATGTCCTCATCTGTAAAATGGGGACACTAATATCTTTATATTTGCTATGAGGAATAAATGAAATGTTATATACAGAAAGAATTTACTATAGGGCCTGGCATATAGTAGGCACTTAAATATTACTTCCCTTCCCTAGGTGCTATAGAGTATACAAAGACATGTACGAAATAGCCACTTATCTTAACGAACTGAAAATCTAGCTGGAAAGACCATGCAAATTTTAGCAAAGTTCTGTGTTAATATAAAATTTAAATAAAAGCTCATTGTAAAAGCAGAAGAGATAGGCATAAATGACTGTTGTAAGTTTGGTTTAGATGATAGTTTTTCAAATTATAAGTCACTTTTAGGCTAGAGAATCCAGGAACTCTCATGGGACCTGAGCAGTGGTTTGGAGAAAAGATTGAAGAATGTGGCAGAGAGAGAGGGCTTTCCTTCAAATTTCACCTATTCTTCAAGAGGGCATTTTAACTAAAGTATCAAGGAAGGAGTCCTCAAATATGTTTAGAGACCTAACTCAAGGATTTAAAGAGAAATAACAAGATTAAGTTGGTTGAGGCAGGGTTGGTTGATGCTTTAAACTTTTTAAAAAATATATTTTATTGAGTTTTTACTGAGAGGAAGGGAGAGGGATAGAGAGCTAGAAACATCGATGAGAGAGAAACATCGATCAGCTGCCTCCTGCATAAGCTGCCTCCTGCACACCCCCTACTGGGGATGTGCCCGCAACCGAGGTACGTGCCCCTGACCGGAATCGAACCTGGGACCTTTCAGTCCACAGGCAGACGCTCTATCCACTGAGCCAAACCAGTTTCGGCGTTTTAAACTTTTTATTGAATCTTAAAGGTTCTGAGTAAGGAATTATGATTAATGCAGGGTACACCTATCAGAGCTGTCCAGCACTCTTTAGCTATCTTTGGTTATAGCATTACCTCTCATTGGAGAGAAGCTGTGTGAGATTTTGGCAGGGACAGTTTATCATGGCTTGGGACAGTCTATCATGGCTTTAAAGCAACCCCAAAACTAATTACTGTAATAGCAGTAAATATATTTTTTATTAAACTTTAAAATTTTTCCTTATTATTGATTTGGAAATTAAATACTTCACTTTTCTTTAGAAACATTATTCTTGACATTTTAACATGTAGCATAACAACTTAAAATTACTACAAGATCAGATTTATTTTTTAATTGAGTCAATATAGTAACCACTGTCCTAGTTGAGCAATATTTTATCTTTTTTTAACCTCACAAGTTAGACATTATTAGCAGCATCATTTTATACAGGTAGCACTTGTTTAGATTTACTCAGATGCTTACCAATTTCCTTGCTCACCATTCCTTCTTGCATCCCAGACCTCCTTTCTGGTACCATTTTCCTTCTTCCTAAAGTAGAATTTCCTTAAGTGAAAGTCTGTTTGAGGCAAACTCTATTTTGTTTATCTGAAATGTCTGAATTTTATCATTATTCTTGAAAGACAGTTTCTGTGGACATAAAATTCTAACTTGATAGTTTTCTCTATCACATTAAAGATATGTCTTCCTCTTCTAGCTTAACCATTGTGCAAGTGAGAGATTTATCATTGTTCTTTGCGCATGTTCTTTGTGGGGTGATTTGCCTTTTTCTTTGGTCCTTTAAGACCTTCTCTCTTTTAATGTTTTCCAGTTTGATTACAACATGACTGTGTGTGCATTTACTTATCTTATTTGGGATATGCTTCTTATATCTGTAGGTTCATTTCTTAGTTCTTAAAAATTCTCAGTTTTTATCTCTAAGAATTTTGGCTTTCCTCTATTTTCTTTATACTTTCCTCCTGGGACTTTCATCTTTCTTATTCTAATTCCCCATGTCTTTTAACCTCTCTCTTTTTAAAAATATATTTTTATTGATTTCAGAGAGGAAGTGAGAGGGAGAGATAGAAACATGAATAATGAGAAAGAATCGTTGACCAGCTGCCTCCTGCACACCCGCTACTAGGGATGGAGCCCACAACCTGGGCATGTGCTCTTCACTCAAAGTGAACCCAGGACCTCTCAGTCCAGAGGCCAACGCTCTACCCACTGAGCCAAACCAGCTAGGGCTTAACCTCTCTTTTTATATTTCCATTTCCTCTGTCTCCCTACTACTTTCTGAAGAGTCATTTCATACCTAGCTTGCAATTTACTCTTGCCATTTGTATTTAATATGTTAAATTACCCCTGAGATTTTGGTTTCAACTACTCTTCGTTCCTAAAATTCTATATAGTTATTTTTTACATTTGCCTGGTCATTTGTGATTTCTTTTTGTTGTACCTTTAATTCTTTTCTTTAATAAATGTCATATATTTTATTATCTGATCTGAAGTCCTTGAATGACCTATTATTTGTTATTTCTCCTGATTCATTCTCATGGGTATTTGATTATTTGTATGACTGATGATAGTTGATTAAGAGGTCCATATTTATTTTTTTGTGAAACTGCAAGATTGTAGAGACCTAAATTGAGGATGTCTTCCTCCAGCGAGGAAGATCTGCATTTGCTTCTGCTGAGAGTTGGGCATGGGAGATTTGAGGGAATGCCCCACAACTGGGACCTCATTTACATTTAGCTTCCCGCTTATATCTTAACCCCAAGATTTATTTCTGACCACCAAATTCCTGAATCTCTGAACTGATTTGGCAAGTTGACTCAGGGCAAATTAGTTTCTTGCTTACCTCTAGGATTTAAAAAATCTTTTTTTGGTGGGGAGGAGCTGAAGATTTCCTTTACTTTCTATTACACGTTTGAAATTAAGTTTACTTAAAACTTAATATCTGACCCCTATACTGACAGAGGTAGGGGTTTTCCAATGCCATCATTTCCCTAGCCAGGATGATATTTAAGTTCAAATCTAATTTATAACTCCCTTCCCCTCTGCTTAAAAATCTTTAAATACCCCTCTCAGTCAAGTCCAAACTCCTTGGTTTAGTAAAACCTCACTGTAATGGAATAATTCAGGCAAGGGTGTGTCCCTTAAAGTTGAAAGTCCATTATTAATAAAATAGGTTTTCTGAATGCCTATGTTAAAAAATTGACAAATTAGCTTGTTTTCATGTATGTACACACATTTGGGTAATTAAGTATGTCTGAAAAGTTTAGTTTCACAGAGAAGTTTTCTATGTGTATTACAGTAATTTTAAATTTATACTGAATAGGTCTAGCAAATGTGTGCATTTGCCAGACACGGTGGGTAAATAAATGCACAGGGCTGGGTAGAGGCTCAGCGCACGTGGGAACATTGACTGACTCCTTAAATCTGCTGCAGAAAGTCACATCACAAGATCACAGAACCAATTAGCCTTTCGATGTAGTGTGATCACATGTGCTGGAAACGGATCATTGTCTCACTAATAGCTAGTCATTCAACATACACTGTTTACGAGCAGTGACTCTTGGATTTAAATATGTAGACTATAGTTGTAGATACATAGTATTTATTTATGTCAGCAAAATTATTACAGTGTTTTCCCCAACATATGATTTATTCACTGAAGTTTGTTAAAGTAACAGCGAATCAATAACAAAAAATAACCTGTAATGATAAGCAAATCTTGGTTAAAAGCATTTTAAAATTAACAGGGTGGCATTTTTCACAGGACATACAGATCGAAGTCTTCTCCATTAAATCTGAAGTCTGCTAAATCAAGGTCCACAAAATCTGTTTGAGTACTGCATAGCACTCAAATCAGGAGGCTACTATTCTCTTTCTGGCCTCTTTCCCCTAGAACAGTGGTCAACAAACTGTGGCTCGAGAGCTACATGCGGCTCTTTGGCCCCTTTGAGTGTGGCTCTTCCACAAAATACTACGTGTGGGCGCGCACGTACAGTGCAATTGAAACTTCGTGGCCCATGCGCAAAAGTCGGTTTTTGGCTCTCAAAGGAAATTTAAATAGTTGTATTGTTGATATTTGGCTCTGTTGACTAATGAGTTTGCAGACCACTGCCCTAGAACACTAAGCTCTAGCTTTCCAAAACTATTTTAAATACTCTTAATTCATCATTTTTTGCCTACTGGCCTTTGCATACAGAAGGTTGTTATTTTTTATTTATTTATTTCTAAATATATTTTGATTTTTTACAGAGAGGAAGGGCGAGGAATAGAGAGTTAGAAACATCGATGAGAGAGAAACATTGATCAGCTGCCTCCTGCACACTTCCTACTGGGGATGTGACCGCAACCAAGGTACATGCTCTTGACCGGGATTAAACCTGTGACACTTGAGTCCATAGATTGATGCTCTATCCACTGAGCCAAACCGGTTAGGGCAATTGTTGTTTTTTTAGAAATATATTTTTATTGATTTTAGAGCGGAGGGAGAGGGAAAAAGAGACAGAAACATCAATGATACAGAATCACTGATCAGCAGCCCCCTATTAAGGATAGAGCCGGCAACCTGGGCATGTGTCCTTGACCAGAATTGAACCTAGGACCCTATAATCCGCAGGCTCTATCAACTGAGCCAAACCAACTAGGGCATAAAATTTTTTAAAATTTTTTAATAATTTCAGAGAGA